AATTTTTCACCAAAATTAAAATCATTATCCATTTCATTAATTAAAAATATTTCATCATTAAAATCATCGCTTTTTGTTTTTATATTCAATAGTTCAAATCCATTCTTCTATAAATATATTCCATTCTTGTATTTGTACTTCAGAATAAGATTCATCAAGTTCACTTAAAGATAAATCATTTTCATTGTCAATATTTTCATTTGTCTTAATAATATTAACTTGTGAAGAACTATTCAAATCTTTCTCAACAATTGGCATATGAAAATATTGAATTTTGGATCTAATTCTTTTGCCTTTTTTTTTTTGCTGATAGTAAAATATATCACTTTGAATTTGGCTCATTGCCAATGCCTTTTTATTCTATAATTATTTAAATATATAAAAAATAGTTAGTATATTTATTGTTTAAATTTTAATAAAATAAAAATATTATTACATTTAATTGATTTCTTCTATTTGTATAAAAAAAACCCATACTACTCTATAACCTTTCAACAGATGCAGAATTTACACAAACTCCATGAATATGTATTGCAACTTTTGCCAATTCTAGTCCAATACTGGCGATTGAATTCCAATAGTTTATTAAATATATATTAAATTGTAAAAAAGTTTCATAGTCATAAGGATCTTCACTTTGTTTATATAAAATCATTTCAGCTACAATTGATAAAGGATGAGTGCATAAGAATGCATTATAATAGTATTTTAACTATTGACCTATATGAGTCTAGGTTAAATTATTATTTGTAGATTGAAACTTTTCTAACTTATAATCTGGATGAAGAATAATTGAAAGAATAAGAAGTGGGTGCTCCCACTCTTTCCAATGTTTTTCAATTCTTTTAACCATTTTAGAGCCAAAATCTAAATCTTGATGCTCTTTAAAAATTTTAATTGTAGATGCAAAAGAATATACTACTTCAAACAATCGTGCAGTATCTTTTTGTAGTTTATTTAAAAAACTACACAAAGGATAAAGTATATGTTGTAATAACAAAAGGTTTGACCAAAATTCAGAATTGATAATAGTATCAGCAATATTATCTTGAAGTTTTTGATTACTATTTTGAGTTGATAACTTATCTACTAGTACTGAAGGTTTTCTATTTTGATATATTAATTCAAGAAAGATTAAATTTCATAGAAATAAACTAAATAAATAAAAATAATTAAATATTAATTCGAGAAAGGTTAAATTTTATAGAAATAAACTAAATAAATAAAAAATAATTCAATATTAATTCAAGTATTAATTAATTTATTTTTGGAATTATATTATTTAATGATGTCTGGGTTTTTATTATTAAATAAAAACATAAGTAATAGCTGTTCCATCTTGTGTTGCTTGGAGATATTAAATATATGTGCTTGTTATAAAGTCTCATTTGTTTATTACAAAGATAACCTGTAAAAAACACTGATTTATTAAAATAGCTGACTAATTTAATTGCTTCATTTGATATTTGGTAATATAATTCATTTTCTTTAAAGATTTCACCAAAAATAAGGTTCATTTGGTGAGCTATACAAGGTAAAAAAATTTTATTTGAATATAATCTTCACATTTGCCATCTGTAAAATAAAAATATAATTTATTTAGAATATAATAAAATTTGTTAATTATTTTATTAGAAATTTTACCTTGCTACAGCATATTCACCTGCTGAATTTAAAACAAATGCCTTTATTTTAACATTTTTTTTTCTGTATTCTCCATCATTTCATCTATATGCTGAATAACATCAGCTGTATAAGATCATTCTGTACTTATTGTATTTGTACCCCAAACTAAAGGTTATCCCTTTGATGTAATAAATACAATGCCCCATAATTGTTCCAATTTGACATTAGTCCATCCATCAAATGTAGCTATAATACCATATTTATCATTTGATGCAATTTTTATAATATCTTGTTGAAGAGATTGAGCTGTATTTATTAATATTCTATCACCAATTGCCCTCCAATTAGGAAGAGAAAGTCCAGGTACAATAAATTCAAATAATGCTTTAGTATCTTTATTTTCTACAAATAAAAATACAAGGCCATTTGACACAATCATTCTAAGAAATAATTGCTCAAATTTTGATATATCATTTGCTGATATTTGGCAAAAATAGTATGAAAAAAAAGAAGGCTCTTAATAATTGCTAGTAGAATTAAAGCTTGAGATAGAAGATTTTCTTCATTTAGTTGGCTGAGAAATAAATTTGCTATCAACTAATTTTAAAAAATACTTTAGTAAATTATAAATTTCTAATTTTACTTAATTACTATTACAACCTTCAGAACTATCAATTCCATCTTTAAGTACTGGTAAGTTAAGAATTTCATTAATTACTTTTTTAGGAAATGATTTTTAAATTTTTATACTTTACCAAATATGCATAATATAGCTTTGCCTTGTTTGTTGTACAACACTCTGGCTTTAATTTAGCTTCTTCTACACCACTATCACAATTATTAATACAACAAAGATATACAGTAGTTGCATTTTCTTTATTTTTTGTATTTTTAGTAAGTACAAAATATGAACAAAATTTATGTGGTACTGGAGGTATTTTTTCAGAAAACAATTATTTTGAATATAGAAATGTTTTTTTTTTTAAAAAAAATAAATATATTTATGCATATTTATAGTCAGATTTTCTCTTTAAAAAGAAGTATATTAATATAACAAAATATATGCAAAAAAGTATGCTATTATAACAAAAAATATACTAATGTAACAGAAAAGTTTCTTTATTATAAAAAAAACTAGTTCTAGTCATGGTACTGTAATAATGATTTGGTTAAAAAATATAAATATGGCCTTAAACGCTATACGTAGGTAGTTCAATAAGTTTTGTTATTTATATATTATCTCAATCAGTTTTAATTTTATAGTTTTAAGAATTATATAT